TATTATTGTCTGAACCATGTAATAGGTATATCAAGAGAGGTAGGCAAGTAGAACTAGCACCACTGACTAAAGAAAATAATAATAATAATTGACCTTAAAACCAAATGGAAGCGGACACCGACACTTAAATAATCTGTTATATAAAATACCTACATAGAAAGACAAAATTTAATTTTACTGTTTCCTCTTTATCAGCATTTAAAGTCTAAAATAAATTAACTTATAAATAATTTACTTTCAAATATAAGATTTTCATAAAACTTACCAAACATCAGGAAAATAATCGTAACGTTACCAGCGGAATACTCCATTTTACAGTAAATTAGTAGTCCAAATGCTGCAATAGTGGCTAAGAAAGGTGACACACAGCCAGCAATACCCAACCATGGCTTACTGCGCAGAGCATCTGTCGATAAACAAGAAACTGCCGAAAATATCAGCAAAATTGGAGCAGCAATTACCATTAGAAACAAAATACTTTCTCCATTTCGGTTAATTTCTTCATTAACTGACTGACTAACGAACTTATAAATTTCGATATTATTCATATGAATTTTTGACAGTGTTTCTAGAAAAGTTTTTTCCCACATTAGTGCCATTTCTTTCGTTTCTTCTGTGGCATGGTCCAGTGGATAATACAGTCTAATTGCCTTGGAATCTCGAATCATATTTTCCTCGTCTACTGTGACACCACCGAATTCGAAACCGGAAATTACTAATTTGCCATCAATTTTATCAGCTGGATATCTGCAGATACACAGAACAAGTTCATTGTAACAATATATAAATATGAATTGAAGTGATTATAATACAACAGAACATGATTTTTATTTCAGGAAAAAACATGTTGTATTGTAACATAACTTTATTGAATTTTGAAGTATTTCTTATTCTATTTTTTGAGACGTGTAAAAGCTTATTTTCATAATTAATTCACATTGTCTTATGTAACATTATAAAATAATTTAAGAAGATTTTGGACATGGGAGGAGGATTTGAAAGTAAAGATGGAAACAAGCAGTGACGTATAGGGTTTGTGCTACTCGGAGTATTACTTGAGTTTATCTACTCCACGAAAAACAGCATACTACACATCAAAGAGGAATGAAAAAAGACACATAGCCATAGAGATAAATCTAGCAAAGAGTTAGTTAACTTTTTCGGCGACATTCAAAATTTTGATGACGCTATCAGTTATGATATTTTATTTGAAAATTTTATATTTTTAATAATTATAAAGTGGAAAAACGCTTAATTTTGAGAGTAAGGATGGGTTTTATAATAATAAAAAAAAGTTGTAAATGATAATAGCGAGTAAAATCGTAATTAAGTCCGATCCTATTCGAGACATGGCATATAAACCCACTTTATCTCCCTACCCCCACGACCTTGAACCACCAAAATTTAAAATCACCAATCCCATTAATACACAAACCTCCCTGCAAAACTTCAGAAAATTTCGGCAAAAAGCACAGAAGTTATTAAACTTCAAATAGAGCGAATAAAATTGTTCCGCCATAAACACACTAAACCCCCAAATTTTTTACGCTAGCCGAAATTTGTCCCGGATTAGCGATGGTCGGCCTGTAATATATTTATAAATTGTTGTACTACAAATAAAATAACATACTTACTTGATCTTGTACATTCCTTTTTTTATGTCATTCGTCTTTTCTTTCAATGACAAAACAAAATACTCGTTGCAAGTGGTTCCGTCTGCCTTACAACACAAATCTTCATAACGAACGAATGCATTATTCCATAGAAAACTGACATTTCTAATGATTTTGTCAAGTTTGATGACCTCTTCAATTATTGATTCTTCTAGAATGGAAGTTTCATATTTTGACGTTATCTGTATTGCTGCCATTCCTTCCAATTTAGATAATCTTCTATAATCGCATTGTGACGTGTTTATGGGAAATATTGATTCGATTGCAGCTCTGTCTGCTTTGCTTCTTGCATCGGAAGGAACGTAAAGATATTCTATGTCCTTCGAAGGTGATATATTTAATATTCCTGTCGCTAACACAAGTGATAACACGAGGAAAACTGAGACATATATTTGAGGATAACATCCTACGTTGTAACCAATGCGAGATAATGAGACAGAAACTATTCTTCTTATAAAGTCGTGCTTCATTTTTCCATAGAAAAGAATCAAACCGGAAGGAAATAGTCTGAAAAAATATTTAATATCAATTACATTGCATTGGTATCTGTCACAAACGGTATCAAATTAAGTAGAATGTTTATTATAAAGGGTAATGTTGTACGCGAAAAAAAAAGATGAGTTAATTATCAAAAATGACCAGTTACTAAAAAAAAAAAAATACTTTATACACTAAGAAGCGTGAAAATTCAAACTTAGAAATGTCATGTAATCCTTTACAAATGAATCGCATTAAATTACAATATGCTGTTTAATTTAACTACAAGTAAATATTATTTATTATTTTATTTTCTTAGTCAAACCCCGTTATAACTTTATCATTTTATATGAAATTCACATTGGTACGAAGTAGATTTGCAATCCTGTAAAAGAGGATAATTATTTAAACGTTAACCAGTTCGGTTAATGCTGTGTTGTTAACAAGTAATACAAATATGAGGTATAATTTAACACAAAGAACATTGGTTGCAGCTTTCTTCGTTCGCACCGAGCATTTCGATCTAGATTGTGACTAAGGTCGGAGAGTGTTCCGTGGTGCGAACGATCTCGACCGTTGCAATCTCGACTGAAACGAGGTTCTATCGCGATCGACTGGAAAGAGTTCTCGAAACTAGATCCAGTCATAAGAGAGATCCCACAATCCCACGCGCGCGAGAAAATACAAGATTACTGCAGAACACGTGTCGGGCTATCGACAGAGAAATAAAAAAGACAGCTGGACAGACGACGACATCTGTCTATTATTAGATGTACGGCAAGAAAAGTATTTATTTCTAACCAAAACTTCCATTTTGTTTGTTGGTGTTTGTGACTTACCGCGTAGTTACGTCAGTTTTATNTAAAGTTGTCGCCGGTTTTTTTGTAAATAATTTGCATTTTAACGGCATTTAACCTTATTTAATCTGTATAAACCGCATCTATGTTTAGCCTTAGATATTCAAAAAATGCTTTGTTGATTTGTAGAGATCTGTCAAACTGTCTACCATTCCGAACCTGGACATCTATCAACTTACTTATTGACCTCCCACCTCGCTTTTGGCCTCTAAGCAACTGTTATCACCAACTGACAACACCGAGGTCGGGTTTTAACAACCCCTGCCGATTAAGCAGTTAATAGGGCACTCCCATAGCCCCGGCTTATCTCACAATAGTGTTAAATATACAGTTAATACAGGGTGAATGAAACTGTGATTGTAAAAATAAGCATTATTTATAAAAGTGTGACTGAACTGGTGTTTTTATATCATACGAAACAACACAGTAACGAGCAGAATAGGAGTGTTTTTCGAAAAATAGATTCGAAAAAACATAATATCATTTTCAATTAAATGACTATCTCTTTTTAAAGGTGTGGGTTAATAGGTGAACAGTATATTGATGAGACCTCTACCAGTGTGTACTCTGTTATTTTTTTTACCGATTACAAGTTAGAATCATTATTCACGCTTCTAAAGTACAAGAGACAAAAGTCGTTCGCTATTCTTAATATAGAATTTTCGAGGTTATAGTTAACATATACACGAGTAAAACATTTATGTAATTATTGTATAAACTAAAAAGTAAAGCCTTGAATTAATATGTTGCGATAGTTAAAGCCATGCTTATGTGTGCTGTTCACGCGCAATTGCTGTGAAAAAAAACCAAATGTTTCTGTTTCTAACTTAAAGAACGTTTTACCCAAGCTTATGTTTACTCTATCCTCGAAAAATCTTATAAAAATAGGGATTAACAAAGTAAAAACAAACATTTTCTTCAAGTCTGAAATTAGAACAATTAATCTTCTAATTTAGAAATTTTGAGGCCAATTTCAAGAAATGGCTTAAAAACTGCATGAAATTCAAACATGTGCATATACTGTAATATAACCTGTACAAAGTATAAACCTGTAATTGTCGTGGTTAAATAAAACCACACTCAAGTACTGTCGGCGTCTAAATGTACGGTGTTCCTTTTATTTCCTCACGATATGTCTAAATACATTTTGAACTCAAGTTATGGTGCAATTCTATACAATCTGTTGAAGCCAACATCATTTGTCGTTTTTCATTGGTGTTAATACTTTCCTCGGATAAAGAGTTATGCTCACTAGCCTCAGCAACATACTCCTTTGTCAAACTTTCATTCTGAAAATCCTTTGGCAGTATATCATTATAAAAACCCAACAGCAACTGGCAAATTTCACTGATAGGTATACCAAACGCAGCAAATTAGAGCCAAATATTAAAAAAAAAACATTTTCTCTGAAAAGATCTAAAAAATTTCAGTGACATAGAGGTGTAATCTGTATGGACACAAACATACTAGCAGTAGCACACATGTTAGCTTATGAAATTCTCTTGTCACACTAACAGATCTCATATCACGATGTGAGAAAATTGTCACCACGGATCCTCCTGTAGTAAGCATGCAAATTACTTACAGAAAGAGAACTTATCAACCAACCCCACCAAATCAAACAAGAGTGCGTGTAACGCATTAAAACATCACAGAGTAAATTCACTTGTGTTTCTTTTTCAACATCCTTAGATTCACTATAAACTAGAGAGTTTTAATTTGACTTTTCAAATATAATGTACATAAAAAAACAAATGTTTTAATTTTAATATACAGTAATTAATTTTTTCTTACTTCAGTTTATTTTTATATTGTTTTCTTTATACATTATAACACTAAGAGAGCCTATAAAAAAGAAAAGTGTTACCGAAGCTCTAAGTAAATTACTTTTATAAACTACACACATATTTTATTCAAATAACATGAGAATACATCAAAGTTTTAAGAATTACATAAAAGAAATATTACATGATCATGTTTCAAATTTATTTTATATAAACTGTTTCAATTAAATAAATTTAAATTCAATTATAAACATTCATGTTTCTGAATTGTGTTTTCAGAATTTAAAGAATCGAGTTCGTTCGAAACAATTTCATTACATTCAAACTTATGTTTTTTTCGTTTAAAAATAGAAAACGAAAGGGAATCCAAAAGGCTGAGAACTACGGGCAATAAAAAAAGACTGTGAAATGAAGCGAAAAATGCCATTAAAGATATGATTTTAAAAAATATCACAAATGATTCCGATGGTCCAAAATACGCTACCGAAACACCCAAAACGGTAGTTAAGCATCCCTGTAAGACAGGATATCCAGCAGCGTATAAGCAATTTCGGATTTTCTCATTTGGTGTTTTCTTTTTATAATTGATAAACGCGTAAGTCGTATGTACTGTATAATCTACGCAAAATCCCGTACACATCACTAATATTATTATTGAAGGTGGATTCACAGTAACATTCCATAAAGACATGTATCCAATCAAGCCAACCTGAATAGAAACAATAGTCATGACGACAGAAACAAGAAACAATATGTTCGGTGTAAATAAAAGAAAAACGATAATTACTGTACCCCCTGCAGCACTAATCGATTTAACGCAGTTTGAAAAAATATTCACATAAACGTCATAATACAAAAATCTAAAATTATATACAATTACAGGAATTTTGCTGTCATCGGCAATTCTTCTTACATTTTCAAGAAATGATCTTTTATCAATTCCACCTCTTAGATCACAACTGGATATTATAAATCTCGAAGCAGTAATTTCATCGCCTTCTTTATTAAAAATAACATCGTTTTTAAACCTGCCTGCGACGTTTATTTTCAAGAAAACATTTTTAAATGCACTCAAAAAGTCATCAGAATCACTCAGATTGTAACCAGAAAGAGAAAACTCTGCAACTGAAGATTTAGTAAATGCCAGAAATTCTCTCAGCCAACTTTCTGTGGTCGACGAATCGGATATAAATGGAGCAGACTCGAAACTTTGCAGGAGATCCTCTATATCATTTTGGACATTGACATTCGAATAGTCTAATGACTCGTTAATAATTATTTGAACTTGATGACTATAATTAGAAAAATACTTATTTTCAAACTTTACATATTCAAACGCATATGAAGAGTATGGAAAGAATATAACTACATCGTTTTCTTCTTGAGTGAATTGCATACAATATATTGCACCTATAAGATAAACCATAAACAGAACAATTACGATAGTTTTAACGATTGGTTTTCCTAGCATTTTGCCGAGAATATTGCGGAAAAATGCCAAAAAGATATTTTCTTCTTTCTTGTTTGTCAATTTGAATTGTTTTTTGTTTACAATTCCCTGATAATTTCGTTTAATTGGACAGCAGATGACAGAATGCAGTTTATACTTCTCTCTGTATCCATCCAAAGCCATGAGGCCACCAAAAAACAATAACTGATAAATGTAGTCAAACAGGATTGCAAGAGCCGCATACGCGCTGAATATATGAATCACTTTGTAAGGTGTCACAAATCCCGTACAAAAGGCAAGAAAGTTGGTCAGAGACGTAATAGTGATAGAGACAGCAGCTTCGGCATATGCTTCTTTCATTCTATCTGGAACAGAAGCGTCAACGTCAGTTCTCCTCCACGCAGCTATCAATATAAAGGCATCGTCTATTCCAATTCCTGAAATATTCATCCAAAATTAATTATGTTTTAATAATGTTACTCTTATATATTAAAAAATTACTGCATTATATTGATATTTAGGAGAGGTAACGTTCTACTGGACACTGTTTAGATAATAGTATATTTAATTGTTTTGAGAAGCAAATACCTCGTCATTGAGTTGCCGTGTGGCGTATACCACATAAATTTTTTTAGAATAATGCATCACACATAAAACATCACACAGATTGCTATTTTAGCTACGAAATAATCGTATGTATCTCTCGTTTATTCGCTGTAGTTCAGTAAAGCTTAGGACATCAAACAGAAATTAGTGAGCCAACAATGATAACTTGTGATAACAATAACTCTTATGATAACAATAAATCGTTGATAGCCTCAAACAGAGGATAAAATATTTTAGAAAAAAATTACAGTATAGTGTATTAACATGAACAATTTATATTTATCCATAACCCTATAATATAAACAATATTAAATCTTTACTTACGAACAACGAAATATCACAAAATTAAAGTAGAGAAATCGCTATAAAAATATTTATTTCCAAAGCTATGCTTCAAGTAAAGACCTACAGAAGTACTCGTATTGTTTAAACATTTTCATCAAATTCTTACAGCTTAGTATGTAAAATATAAAATGTATACTACGGATAAAAGAAAATTTCGAAGAAATCCATTTAATATGAATTTTCTAAGAATATCTATTGTTTGTTTTCAAGTATAATTATCACAATTGAAAAAATATCTAATGGTTAATTATAATAGGCGGGCTATTTTTTATTAATTATGTATAAATGTGTTGAAACTGACTGATTTCGATAACGATAGCCGATTGATAATATTATCCGTAATTATAACAACCGGATTTTACTGTATTTCGACAAAGTTCGCAATGCTGACGAAAGTTTAGTAAACGAGGATAAACTTAATAAAGTTATGTTGATTAAATCAATATTGTCCTTCCTTTTTCCAAATTAATCCTTGAAACTTCGTTACTAATTAATAAAGTTATGGTTTATTAAGGTTATTATGGCTTAAGGGCAGTGTTTATGATAATTATCTTATTAATCAGAACTTATCAATTAACTTATTGTCAAACTTATCAATTGCAAAATATGCGGTAAATTATTATTTTAGTTACTGTAAACTTCAAATACACGATAAATCGAGTTTAGCTATTCTAACTGCATGCCGGCATTTTACAAGGGATGTATGATTATATATCAGTGGCGTGCCGTGACATTTGATGATATGGAAGCTGTGTTTCTATAAGAAGCCGACTTCCAGGGGCAATCAGTCAGCAATGGTCTAGGGTCCATTCGTATTCGTTTGTTCGATAAGCCAGTAAAAACCGTAGACTTCTCTAAATGTATTTTTAATTAATAGATTATCTAACGCACTTAATAAATAAGCAAGTTCAATACAATTAACTCTCTTATATTAGATTTAATAAATTCTATACACCCTCTAAATACCAATTCTCGCTTCGATAACATCTACTAATTAAAATATATCTATTAGCCGTAACTATCTTGTTATAATTTTCAATATATATTTTATATTGTGTACTAATGTTAAATTCTATTCTATTTTGATTTCCAAATTGCTTCAATTTTACGAAAGAATCGATGCGAGATTTAGGATTTTCGTGTCTTTTGCCAGCTTTACTCAAATTATTTAAATCGTCAAAGCCAATCTCATTCTACACACTAATTTTATTTGAAAATAGTAGGCAAGGCCAACAAAACAAATTTTGCATTTTTATGCATCCACAAAGCCATTTTATATCTTCATAAATTTTATCATGAAAATGTCGAACAAATTTTTTCTTTTTCATTATATGGTCTCGAGCCAAAACTTTTTGAAATAAATTTTCGATATCACAATTACATTCTAAATTGCTAGCTATAATATAAGGGCTAAAATTAAAAATAAAATTATAAAAACTTACTTGTTAAAATAAAATGTGTGATGATATACAATTATACATACCTGGTACAAAATATTCAATTGTATGAATATACTTTTAAAGAAAATTATAAATATAGTTTTGTGAAGAAACGTACATAAAAATAACATAAAATAGTCTTTACTTTTTAAATATTAAAACAATCCACCTAGTTAAAATTGCTCCCTACCAGTGGCTCGTGGATGGAATCAGAGACGGTCTTGGTAGGTGTGCGGTGCGGTGCATGCTTGCCAAATCCCGAGGGTGCCGATACCGGTTAATGTCTCTTTTGTCTCATCACTAGTATATCTCAAAGGACGCGACAGGGTTGTTGTAAATTTTAAACGTTTCTCATCATAGCTGTAAAAATCTAAATTTGTTAAACTTAAAAGTCATTTGTTTTCTAACTACTGTAATTCGTTTTAAGACCAGGTGTCCACGGAAATTTCCAAAATTTACAACTTTTACTCACTTTCATTGAACTGGAAAAATTTCTGTCTTTATTACATCTAATATTACGAAGAAATCAGTCCCACTGTACTCGGCTAGATATTGGTCCGGTTAGGCTTTTGTTTAAGTAAAATTCCGGCTCTTTCATCAGGGTTTTGTTTACGTCCCCAATTCCCTAATCGCTTAATTATTTAACTACTTCTTAAGTAGAAATAAGTCGAAACCAGTTACTTTGTACTCGAATATTTGTAGTCTCGGGAAAAAAGTGGAAAGACAAATTTTTACGACAACGGATACATAAATCGTAAATTTAAGGAAAATAAATTCTAGAGCCTTTTCTGTACCTCGTGCATCTCTCTCATTCATTAAATTTAGTTGTAAATGATGCTGTCGAAGTAACGGTTAATTTTTTAACATTATACAAGAATTGTACACGTTTTTTTCTACATCCCCTTAAAGATGGGATGTACGAAATCGTAATATCACTGGTTTAACATCGAAATCCGTGAGTAATATAAAATCGGAGAGCGGAATAAATATATCAAATATTTTAATGGATTTTTTAAACTCCTGTCAACTATACAGAACTATCGTAAAAACATACCAGTAAATTCTTATCGGTTGGGTTAAGTTATAAATCTACTCGTTATTCACGTAATCGAAATATCTAGTGGGCAGGCGGCTAACAGCCCAGAACCGGTCCTTGATAGAATTGGAATCTTTATATGTGTGCAGCTTTCACCCAAGGTCGTAGGCTTCCACCGGCTAAACCGGGTGAGGTTGGTGCTCTGTAAAGCGCATGCGCAAATCTGGCTTTTCGTAATCTGAAAATACAGGAGATTCCACTCCGCCACTAATATTCTAATATACAATAGCAATTTTTTTTTCACGTGTAATATAGAAATTTGTAATAAGATACATAATGCGGTTATAATAAAATATTGTGCGATTATTTTCATATAATTAAAATTAATATTTATTTTTTAGAGAATACGAGGGAAGTGGCGCTTCCAACGCTTCTAATGACGACACGCCACTGATATATATACAAAGATTTTAAATAAAATCACCGAATCGCTGTATTTATATTAAAAAAAATATAAGCTAATTATAATTTCAATATTAGAAAATTACGAATTTTTAATAAATGATGTAACTGCAACATCTCAATGACGAACGAACATCAGCGATAATGTCACTATTGAAAAGTTTAATGATTCTTTTCGATTATTGCTATGTTATTCTTGGCAATATTAAGTGTAATAACTGAGGTTTACCTATACACCTTTATTTCGCGATATAAAATTTTCATAAGACTTACCTAACATTAGGAAAATAATCATAACGTTACCAGTAGAATACTCGACTTCGCTGTAAATCAGTAGTCCAAATGCTGAAACAGATGCTAAGAAAGGTGATACGCAGCCGGCGATACCCAACCAAGGCTTACTGCGCAGAGCATCAGTCGATAAGCAAGAAACTGCCGAAAATATCAGCATGATTGGAGCAGCAATTACCATTAGAAACAAAATACTTTCTCCATTTCGGTTGATTTCTTCATTGACAGACTGACTAACGAACTCATGAATTTCGATATTGTTCANAGAGCATCAGTCGATAAGCAAGAAACTGCCGAAAATATCAGCATGATTGGAGCAGCAATTACCATTAGAAACAAAATACTTTCTCCATTTCGGTTGATTTCTTCATTGACAGACTGACTAACGAACTCATGAATTTCGATATTGTTCATATGAATCATTGACAGTGTATCTAGAAGAGTTTTTTCCCACATTAGTGCCATTTCTTTCGTATCTTCAGTGGCATGGTTCAGTGGATAATACAGTCTAATTGCCTCGGAACCTCGAATCACATTTTCCTCGTCTACTGTGACACCTCCGAATTCGAAACCGGAAATTACTAATTTGCCATCAATTTTATCAGCTGGATATCTGCAAATAAATAGAACGAGTTCATTGTAACTTTATGTAAATATGAGTTAGGTTCATATATTTATAAACATCTACTACACGAGATTAGAAAAAACTCGCTTTAAAAGTTCACAAGGCTAAAAAAATATTTTTCTAGAAGCCACATCATGCGGCTGTTTTTTTTAATAATTTAACGTTTAAATTAAAAATTAAGTGGCCAGTACTTTCAGTTAGGAACACAAAATTATAACCAAACATGCATCTGTGTTCACCCCGTTTATGCCGATATGGGAAATTCGAATGTTATAACAGTTATCAAATTTGCAGTAAATTACAAGATTATCTTTTATTCAATAAACTATAGAATAATTATGGGAATCTATAATCTGATTATCATACACGTGTCAATTATGTAACAACCAGCACAACTCCTTAATTATATTAGTTTTTTAAATAAATAAATTTATTATATCTAACAATGATGTTTACTTACTGTATTTCAAAAGCATAGTTTTTCAGTGAAGTTTCTTCTAAAATATTTATAATGATCATTTTGGATTCAAATAAAAATTCCCATATATGCGCTGAAAATCGAAAAATCTTAACCATATATTTTTGTAGTATTTATTTAATTTTATTCTTAACGCACATTTATTTCTATTAACTACTAATTTCGAATATTCTGTAAGTATTTATAATCTACAAAAACATATAATTCTTTTAAAAAAACGTGTATTTTCTTCCCTGATTTTCTTATTCACATTACGTTTAGTTAATAAAATTTAATTATGTAATTGTCTTTGACATAAGAATCAATTTAAAAGTTGTTACTATATTAATAATATAAAAACAAATCTTACTTGATCTTGTACATTCCTTGTTTTATGTCATTCGTCTTTCCTTTCAATGACATAACAAAATTCTCGTGGCAAGTGCTTCCGTCTGCCTTACAACACAAATCTTCGTAACGAACGAATGCGTTATTCCACAGAAAACTGACATTTCTAATGATTTCGTCAAGTTTGATGACCTCTACAATTATTGATTCTTCTAATACGGACGATTCATATTTTGATGTTACCTGTATTAATGCCAATCCTTCCAGTCTAGATAATCTTCTGTAATCACATTGTGACGTGTTTATGGGAAACATAGATTCGATTGCTGCTCTATCTACTTTACTTCTTGCATCGGTTGGTACATAAAGATATTCTGCATCCATTGTAGGTGATACACGTAATATTCCTGTTGCGAACACAAAAGAAAATATAAAGAAAACTGCTACGTGTATTTGAGGATAGCATCCTACGTTGTAACCAATGCGAGATAATGTAGCAGAAACTACTCTTCTAACCAAGTCAAGCTTCATTTTTTTACTTTAAGAATCAAAACGGTAAAAATACTATTAAATATATGTAATACAACACATTGTATTGAAGTCTATATCTCAATCACATCTTAAAAATATGTGTACTTACGTAGTTTAAAGCCTGCGATTTATATAATACTTGCATTACTGCTGAATGTGTCTGGTTATATTAGTTATAATGTAGAAATTGCGATTGAAATATATCATAAGATAAAAGTCACTTCCAAGGAACAAAGTGCAAATAACATGATAAGGATTTTAAAAGTTCGGGTCATAAATGAAGTGTGTTATCAATAAGAATATTCTTTAAAATTGTAATAATATTGATCTATATTTCATTTTAATTGTAAGTAACAGCTGTATTCAATATTGATCTAAATATTTTTCATCGTTTTCTTAACTTCTTATAAATGTAAAAATGATAAAACGTTATTATAATCAACAGTTTCGTGGACATACGTAATTTTTTACCTTAATTTTTAAGAAAAATTATTTGAAAATGGAGTGTAGACGTGAGTACAGTACTTCCATTTAAACTTTGGTCAGTAGTTACTTAAATTACGCCAATTTTAGCCTGTTATTTCTTTTCAATCCGACCGTGCCATTAGCTTGCTTGTGTTAAGGCCGCATTAGCAGACAACGCAAACAATAAAATTAACATTTCGTTATATTATTGTACTTTGGTGTCTTTACGTCGAAGTCCGTCATTAGTATATTAATCCGCTCTACCAGGCACCGTGTTTATTATAGAATTTTTCATAGATTACGCGCGAAGATTGTTCGGAAAAGTGTCAGAAAAATCGTTGATTTAAATATATCAAATTTTAATAAGAAATATACGTAAAGGTGTAGATAATCCCCGAAACCAGAAGTACGGTCTAGTGCGTGAAAATCGGTGACGGTTGGAACAATACAGCAAGCGTGGAACAAAAGAAGGAAGAAACAGATGATTCGAGAAGGCCAAAAAGGAAGGACCACGTGCAAACGACCGAAATCGAAAGACGGGGAAAACTTTACAAGTCCACAGGATGAAACCAAAGAAAAGGATAGCCTAAGGAGGCGATGAATTCTATTCGGAACGGATTATTAGAAAAGAAAATCCCTGAAAACATGTAAGCCAAAATTTCAAATATTTCGTGGCAATGACGGCACGCTTAAGGTAGAAAATTGGGTGAAGAAATTCGAAACAGCGGCGTAATATATGGGTATGAAGGAGAAAGATAAAATAATTTTAATGGGAGATTACCTAGAAGATGAAGCCCTAAATTGCTACATTGAACACTCGGACAGTCAAAGTTGGCGATAATTAAAACCAACTTTTGTGGGGAGTTTCGGATTATAAGCCACCGAGCATATCGTGGATTTCATAAGGTTAAAATGTGATCTAAAAATAGGAATAAAAAATTATTTTAAAGAAAAAAAAAGGTTAGGGAAGTTATCACAATTGAAAGAATTCCAGATAATACCGTTAATTATAGAAGAGTTACCTCGTGAAATGGCGGAATATTTCGTAACCGTGAGACCAAAAACTTTCGTAGAATTTTATGAAATAAGCCTGAAAATCGAAGAAAATTTAAAACAAAAACGAATCAATAAGTCCACAAGAAGTAATTTTTATTACGAGACGAAAGAATTTATTTCGGAACATAAGAGAAAACCAAAGGATTGTAACATTTGTGAGAGATTGGAATACCGAAATAGGTTCCGTTGGTCTCGGGACTGTCGGAATAAGCGAAAAACGCCTGAACGAAAGGGTAAAGTAAATTTCATGGTGGTAGAAAACGACGACACGGAAACGTATATCACCAACGAATTACAAAATATTAATTTAAACTAATGGACCGACCTAAATATATCACTTTCCACTCCATGATCAATGGTGAGAAAATAGCAAAGATCTATGATAGTGGGGCAAACATCTCTTGTGTTGACAGTAAAATTTATATGACATTGATTTTACAAAAGTTGAGAATTGTAAGATAGAATTAATTAACTAATAACGTATCAATAAATTTGAGATCGTATCGTTGTTCCTTAAGTGACCAAAAAATAAAAAACGATCAAATAAAAATGTTGTTAGAACAAAAACCTATTCGGAGATCAATGAGCTTGTATTCTTATTTAGTGACGTTAGCTGATAAAAAGGACGAGGGAAAAAAGACCAGTTGTGCATTGAGTACAGAAAACTTAACCAAGTGACGATAACTGATAACTCAAAAAAACACAACACCTTAATTTGCTGAAAAATTTAATGAAAAAGCAAACGTTTTCAGCCAAATCTGTTGGCCATCATCAGGCTAAGAATATTCGAATATAAATAAAATATAACAAAAATTTAAATACAAATAAAAATAACGAATAAAAAATATATATACACTAGCTGCAAGGACCCACTTCGCTGGGTTTTTATTTGGTCGTACATTTGTATGTAATATAGTTGTTTTTATATATAAAAGACTGTTTTTATAAGTAATCTAGAATCTAGCTGCAAGGACACGCTTCGCTGGGTTTTTAAAAAGTAACGATAGTGAAGACTAAGATAATAGGCCTATATATATATATATATACATGTATAAAGAAAAATGAAATAAAATAAAAATTATTCTTATAAATAACAAAATATATGTATAAATATATGCATAGGAAAATTAAATATTAAAACGTTATATAATAATACATTATATGAAATTCAATAAAATGCAAGAATATGCAAAAATACTAAAAAACAAGGCATTAAATTAAGAGTTCTGTAATCGTTTGATTAAGTATTTCCAGGCCGAAGGCAACTCTTTCGAATCTCTAGAATTATTGCATGCATCATATAACCTGTTATTATATATTTCAATTTTTTCGGCCCAAATCGCCAATGTCGGTGAATATACTGGTTTAATAATACTTGCTTCGTCCCATTTGACGACTAAGCCCTCAACTTGCGCCAATTGCGATAGTATTGTGGCGTTAGATCCCTTGCTGATATTAGAGAGGTTGCGGCCGACGTTTTAAACGCGAAAACGTGTACGTTGGACGTTCAGCGCTGCCTTCCTGTAAGCCTAGAAGTCTGACAATGGCGTTTAGAACGTCGAGTATGATTCTACTGACGTTCCAAACACCATTGTTAAACTTCTAGGCTTAGAGGAAGGCGGCGCTGAACATCCGACGTACACGTTTTCGCGTTTAAAACGTCGGCCGCAACTTCTCTATTGTATTTGTGTTTTTTTAATCTGAGTCCTAAGTTTCTACTAATGACACCAATGTAATTTTTATTAATGTGTAGTTCACGATTTTCATACGGAATCTTGTACACTCCTGCTCTTTTTTCTTTATCCATGTTGTCTTTGTCTTTCCTTAATAATTTCTACAGGTTAGGATCTCTCTTGAAAACTAACTTGGACTTTTTGCGGGCTGAGATTTCATTCATGATGGCTTTTTTTCTTTCTATCATAAGTAAACTTTGTGATTTCGTCGAAATCTCCGCTTTGAGCCTTATTTTTGTTTATTTTGTAATTTCTGATCAATGTTGTTATCATATCTGCTTTGTATCCTAGAGATCTGGCAATATGTGATATTCTATTAATTTTTTTTTTGCCTATCCACCACACTACTGCAATAGAGAAAGGTCCTTTGGACAAGGGCACGGAAGGCAGCCATTTTGTATTGGTACGGATCATTAGAGTGGAACGGAATGTACAAAGGGCTATGAGTCTGTTTTACGTATACCTTAGTGGCCAAAAATTGTCGGAATCCCAGGCCAAGTATGCCGAGATTGTTTGCTTTTGCCAAGACCCATAAAGAGGGTAAAGAAATGAGACCTATAGTGGAAAGGTGCAGATAACCAACGTTTATTCTTGAAAAGAAATTACATAAGATTCTCACCTCGCACCTCGAGAGTAATGTATACGTGGCACAGGAAGCGTTAATGAGAATTGCTCTGTATTATATGTCAAAACACTTTGTAACCAATGCGAGATCAGAGGACAATTGCGTTTCTTCTGAATAAATTCTGCTTCATTTTTCCACGAGAAATAAAGAAAATTGTGGTAAACACAATGTAATATAAAGGATACTGTGCAATAAAAAGATTTAAGTAAATTATTATTGCCTTATTGTCTTTATTTCAATTCTTGTTATATTTGTCAACTTGGACTTAAATTATTAATAGGAGTTTACATTAGTTTAACAGTCCTATTAATAATTTAAGTCCAAGTTGACAAATATAATAAGAAGATTTAAGTAAAGTTTTAGTAGACTACAAGTAAAGTTGTACGCATAATATTCCAGTTTCTTCTGCAGGTAATACTGGTAATAGCCCCCAGTTGTTCCAGAATTCGATGGAGCGTATTCGTGAGACCTAGAAAATCAGATTTCGAAAAAGATTACGCGATCAGCTAAAAAGTTTTTCGGAAACTGGAGTTCAAAACATTCAGAATGTCTATGAGCAACGTGGAAGTAATGTACTGTACAGGTTTCTTATGCAATGCTATGACTATAGCTTTATTGATATTACATATTTCTTACAGCTCAGACACCTTTCAAACACTGCATTTAATGTTATAAACAGCCATTATTCCTTTGAGTTGTTTACATGATAATTCTATCGCTCACAGAAAATCTTATTAAAATCGACGTATAAAAATTCTGCAACGTGTTGCGTTACTTTCCCGGCTGATATAAAGTTTGATTAGAAATATAACTTTTAGATTATTAATCATAATTGTATGTGATGCCATTTCTCCAGATTTTCTTATAAAATAATTTTGTCATTTATTCATTATTATAAATTGGCAAAAAGCATAATTTTGACGGTAGTGATGAGTTTTATATAAAGTTATGTATCAAATTTGGTCTCTACTATTGCCACATTCTAAGACATTATAAG